AGAGACCCTGAGAGCAATCAGCCGGCGTGAGAAGCGTCTCCGTACCACTCCCTAAGTTTCCTGCCCAGGCCTGGCTGCCGGGGGGAGGCGCTGAGCGAGCTGGAAGTGCCGGCAGCAGGGGGAGGCGCAACAGCAGCAGGACAGAGCACCCATCCCCCGCCAGCAGGCCGAGCATGTGCCCCATCTGCGACTGCTAGTAGCAAATATCTCAAATGGCTGAAGATCGGACACTAGATGGGAAGGGGTCTCAGTTACTACAGTGAATTCTTTCCCTGGTGACTAGCTCAGGGTCTAACTGTTCACCATATTTGGGGTCGGGAAGGAATTTTCCCCCAGGTCAGATTGGCAGAGACCCTGTTTTTTGTTTTGCCTTCCTCTGCAGCTTGGGCACGGGTCACTTGCTGGTCTGAAATGGAGTAAATGGTGAATTCTCTGGAACTTGAAGTCTTTAAATCATGATCTGAGTGCTTCAGTAACTCAGCCAGAGGTTATGGGTCTATTACAGGAGTGGGTAGCTGAAGTTCTATAGTCTATGATGGGCAGGAGGTCAGAATAGATTATCACGACGGAGCCTTGTGACCTTAAAGTCTATGAGCAGGTCTACACTACCGCTTAAGTCATTGTAACTTATGTCACTCAGGAGTGTTAAAAGCACCCTCCCCCTGGAGCGACAAGTTTTGCGCTGTCCACCACACTGGTGCTATGTCGGCTGGAGATGCTCTCCCCCCAACATAGCTTCCAGGTCTTGCAGAGGTAGAGTAATTATGCCAGCGGGTCTAATGCTACATCGGTGCAGTTATGCTGATGTAACGCTGTAGTGTAGACTTGTCCTATGAGTCTATAAGTAACCATAATTAAACAAAAAATTAGATAAAAATGGATTTCCATTTGGCATTCATATTTTGTGTTTATAGTTTCAGCATACATTTGGATTGCATATTATGACTGTAAAGAACCCTAAATAAAACCCCTACTTCTGTTAAAGACCATAACTAGCCTTGTCAGTGAATTTTTGTTTTAGGTGTACAGCACATTTCTTGCAAACATTGATACAGGCACCTACCAAATGCATGTATTGATCAAATCAAAGAGTACACATATTTTGTTATAAAGGCAGGAAATGGAAATGCATGAATAATAAATATGGTTCCTTGTAGTTCATCTTGAAAAAAAATGTGTGAAGCTCTCCATACTATGTTCACAGCATTAAAATAAAAACAGTACATGCCATTAGGGAGAGGGAGAGGAGAAAGAGGGGGTTGGGGAAGAGAAGAAAGTGAGCTGGATTTGTGAAAGGGAGAAGAGACTGAGGAAGTTAGTCTTGGATAGAGAGGAGACACTAGGCATAGTGAGGAGAATGAGGTGGTTTGGAAGGAGAGGGATGAGAAACTGGAGGATTTGGGGAAGAAGGAGGAATATCACATTGATTAGTGCAGTATAACAACAAACAGAATAAAATAGCAGAAAAATCAAAATGAAGAGTAAGGTGGTTTGGGATAAGAGAGAGGAAAGACTGGTGAATGTGGGGAAAGAGAAGATAAAGGGAGTATGGGGCAGAAAAAGAGGTTGGGAGGTGAGGCCTTTTGAAAGGAGAGATTGGCAGATTTGCAGCGAATAGGACAGTCTGAGGGGTTTGGTGGGAAAAGGAGAGAATGCGGTAAGTATGAGGAAAAGGAGAAGAGACTAGGGGAGTTGTAGGTGTTCCAGGAGACTGGGATGTGGAAGGAAGAAGGAAGGAAAGTTTAGAGAGAGGTGGTGTTGGAGAGAGGAGGAGTCATTAGAGGAGTTAGGGGTAAATAAAGAAAATTGGGGGTGGGGGAGAATTTCACATAGAGCAAAGGCTGGAGGGGAAAGATAAGAGACTGCAGCATTTAGAGGGACAGTGGAAACTTGGCATGCTTTCTAAAGATTGCTGCAGCGGAGGAAAGGAGCCAGACCACAATGACACATAGGAAGAGAAATGACAGGAGGCCACAGTAAGTGCCGAACG